CTAATCTAACTGGTTTCATATGCCATCTATAAAACATTTTATACAAATTTTCTTTATATGAAGCTGCTTTAGTAAGTTTAATATTTCTGTCCCAAAGCTTTTGCCAAGCTTCTAAATCTATAGAATATCCAAAAAGTTTTGCCCACACTATCATTGTCTCTTTTACTTGTTCTTCTTCCATCTTCCAACTTAGCAGGAATTTGTAGAGCTTCTTAATCAAGTTATCGTCTGTTTTCAAGAGTATTTTATCGAGTAATATCTGTTCTTTATAAAATCCCGTTGATTTTACATCTTTTTTGTATCTTGTTTGAATTTGCAGATAGGACCACCATGTTAAACCAATACCTTGTTGTTGAAGAACCTGCCTGTCTTTAAGTTTTCTGTCCTTGTCTAAAATGTCTTTATAAGTAACAAGTTTGTCATAGTTAATTAAATTTGGGTAAGCGAAGGCTTCTATTGTTGAAAGCCACTCAGATATTTTCATATAAATTTTTTGTTTAGTTCTCTCCCATTCTGGGAGCAGTACATTCCTTATGGCATGATTTTGAAAATATTTATGTATTTTATTTTTCCAATACCACAAAAACGCATGCCAACCCAATTGCAAATTGTGTCGGAGCCTCCCCCGTGCCACCTGGCCCACCTCCCTCGCCGTTGGAGGCCGCCTCGGCCCTCTGGTGCCCGGCGCGGCCCTGGGGCTGGCAGGCAGGAGCAGCTCCTTCCCGGCTCACCGTGCTCTGGGCCTCGGGAGCGGCCAGGAGGCGGGGAAGAGGGCGAGGCGGCGGCAATGCCCGCATGTGCGTTGGAAGCCAGCCGGCCGGGCTGGGAGGGGAGAAGCAACGCCTTCCGAGCAGGAGCTGGCACTCTGGCCATGCCCCTCTCGCGTGCGACGAGTCGGGGAAGGGTTTGGCGTTGAAGGGCTGCGCGGCGTGGAAAGGGGTTCCTGCGACCCCGCCGCTGCGATGGCGCTTAGGAGGCTGGAGGGGCGGGCAGGTTCCGGGGGGTGACTGGGAGAGGGCAAGAGGTGCCGGGATGAGGATAGAGGGCTCCAGGTTGGCAGGTGCAAGAGGGCGGCCGGCGGCTCTGAGGCACGCGGATTGTCCGCGCGGCTTCCGAGGCCCCGGAGGTGATGCCGCTTGGCTCTCCGCCAGGCTCTCCACCAGAGCCTCCCTCCCTTCCCCGGGCAATTATACGGAGCTGATTGTGTGTCCTTGGCAGCGCCTGCAGGCAAGGCTGTGTGCCCAAGCCAAAACGCCGCACTTTTCCTACCGCTTCTCCTCCCATTGGTCAAAGAGGCAGATGCTATTTCCCTTTCCCTGGTTCTTTTCATCTGCACTGGAAAGGACAATTTGGACTATTTTATTACCGGTACCTGTTGCTTGTTTTATTACTTGTTGCCTTTGCTGAACCAGGGAAAATTGGTTAAAGTGATTTTCAGGAGCTGCAGAATGCCTCCAAGTAAAGTCGCAGCAATTACCCAGCCAATTTTCCCTGCTAGGGCATCTGTGTGTGTCTCCAGACCTTACTGGACTACCATCCCCAGCAGCCCTAAAAAGCACTGGAAGAGTGGGGAATGCTGGGAGTTGCAGTTCATCACCATCTGGGAAAACATGACTCTCCAAAGATCGATCAATCCTTCCTTCCTTCCTTCCTTCCTTCCTTCCTTCCTTCCTTTCCTTCCATCCATCCATCCATCCTTCCCTTCCCCTTCAATCTCTCCTTCCTTCCTTTCCCCTTCAATCTTCCTTCCTTCCATCTCCATCCCTTCCCCTTCAATCTCTTTCTCCTTCCTTCCCCCTTCAATCTCCTTCCTTCTCCATCTCCTTCCTTTCCCCTTCAATCCTTCCTTCCTTCCTTCCTTCCATCTCCATCCCTTCCCCTTCAATCTCTCTCTCCTTCCTTCCTTCCTTCCTTCCTTCCTTCCTTCCTTCCTTCCTTCCTTCCTTCCTTCCTTCCTTCCTTCCTTTCCCCTTCAATCTCCTTCCTTCTCCCTCTCCTTCCTTTCCCCTTCAATCTTCCTTCCTTCCTTCCCCTTCTCTCCCTCCCAACATTTTTGAGCAAGGAAGAGTAAGTTTCTCCAGCGAGCATTGCTATATTGTTTTTGTGATTAATCATTATGCTTTAATTATGTTCAATTCGTAACAATGAAAGTATACCCTGCATAATCAGATATTTACATTACGATTCATAACAGTAGCAAAATTACAGTTATGAAGTAGCAACGAAAATAATTTTATGGTCGGGGGTCACCACAACATGAGGAACTGTATTAAAGGGTCATGGCATTAGGAAGGTTGAGAACCACTGCTTATATGCAAGCCATCTTCCCGGTTTATTGGCATTTTCAAAAAAATTCTGTTTGGATCGTTTAACACGGCTTATTTTACTGTTTCATTTTCTAGTTTCAGAGTGGCACTTGTGTCCAAAAAACCTACCATATAGATTGACCAGATTTTAAAAGAAAACACTGGAAAATCAACAACTTCTTATTTTGAAAGATGGTTTCTCATTGTTTACAGAACTGGTTTAAATGGAATGGCAAACCTTTAAAAAAAAATAGACCATCCATAAAGTTAACTATCTTGCAGTCTTGCCTGAGGGATCAAGAAACTAGCCATACTGGTTGAATCAGATGCTCTGCATTTATGTGTAAATTTTAAAATCTAGGAGAGAGATTTAATTATGTTGCAAAATTCAGATATAATCATGATGTTGCCTTTCATGGTAATGGAGTTAGATGTGATAACATTGCTTAAATGTTAAATGCTATTAAATGGGGAGACTTGGTCTGAGTTTCTGTAGATGATTTATCTCCTCATTTTAAAGGTATACTCAAATTTTCTATGGTAACATAGTTCCAATAATTTTATTTTTTATCTTTTAGAGACTTTATTAGTGGCTTTAAATGAAAGGGGAAAACATGTTTTACTAACCAACATCAAATTATGGAACTACAGATTGCCCCAAGAAAAGCAATACGTATAATACCTTTTATATGTTGTCATTTACTTGGAACTTTAAAGCACCAAGAACTTACAAAGAAAACTAAACACAAATGTAAAAGATACTCATACTCAGTTATATTATTTTATGAATTATAGACTTGAATCTTCATAAGTGCTGTGGCCTGAGTCTTGAAAGTTGTGTTGTTCTGCTGCTTCTTAAATCCCATGTCTGTGGTATTTCAATCTATAATAATAGTGAATTTTTGGAAAATAGAAATTCATATTCTCAGTTTGTAGTATTTAGTATTACATTTGAAAAGAAAGCTGTGAAGCAGTTGATAAATAATAGAATTGGTATCTTCATCAACAAATGAGAGAGACACTGCATGACTCACTTTCTTCAGCATTTCTTCAGCTGCAGAGTTGATGAATGTCTGATCGTCATTTTAGCTTATATAGATATGAGAAACAGCCATATTTTGTTTCCCTGAATAAGCAGTATAGAATAGAATAACAGTGTATTCTATAAGGAATATAGAGTAGTGTGTGCATGTGTACTGCTTACAGTATATTACAATATACTGCAGTATATACATTGTGTATACAGTACAATATATTACAGTATATTCTACAAATAGCCTAGACTAGAGTAACAATGTCTATTAAGTTTGCATCTGATTCACAGAATGCAAAACTAGATGCAGCACAGAATAGTGGAAAATGAAGACAAGCAAAGCAGTGGAGAAGTGAACAGGGAGATGCTCACTAAGAAGGAAGAGGAGGATTCTGCTGCCTACTTTGTCCAACAATAAGGCAGCACTGCCAGAAGCTATTTGGCACTGTCAGGGCTGGTTTCCTCCTTGGGATATCAACATAAAAGGGATATTTGTGAGTAAATGAAATTGTGCAGTGGACTGGACATAATCCATGTGCTGATAGTAGATTAATTTATAAACCACAGTGTCTTTACAGACTCTCTTTCTCTCTCTGTCTCACTCTGTCTTGCTATATCTCTCTGTTATTTCTACTATATTGCACATTTATTTATGAAATTTAGACACTGCTCATCTCATAATCCAAATGACTCTAGGCAGTTTACAAATGTAAACCATAAAACTATTTCAAAAAAACATAATTAAAAATAAAACAGTGAAAAACAGAATAAAAACAGATGAGTTAAGAGGCAGAGGGAGTGCTCTCAAGCGACTCCTGGGTTGCATGCCACTCTTCATTTCCAATTGGCAGAGCCAGGTCTTCATGTTCTTCCAGAAAGTCTCTGCCGCTGTCCCTGCCTATAGAACAGTGGTGGCGAACCTATGGAACGCATGCCAGAGGCGGCACTAAGAGCCCTGGCACGCGTGGGCACGTGTGCTGTGCCCTGGAGATGGCGAGGGACTGGTCCCCACCGCCCTGGCCCCACCCACCCAGTCTGCTATGACCATCGGGGCCACGTCCACCCGGCACCCAGTGATAAATAAGTGGGTTTTGGGTTGCAGTTTGGGCACTGGGTCTCTAAAAGGTTCGCCATCACTACTATAGACTATCTTGCCCCCAGAGGTGAGACAGGGACAGCGGCAGAGAAGACTCTTCCTAGGCTCTGTCGATTGAAATTCAAGTTGACGTAATTGGGGTCAGTCCCTCAGGTAACCTGTCTTATGCCATGGAGATCTTTAAAGGTGGTAAACAACACCTTGAATTGGACCTGGAAGTAGAACAGCACCAGCCAGGCATAAAAGAATTATTAAACAGTTAGCAACACTTGATTTAAAGAAATAGATTGCTAATATATTGTATGTTGTTTCTTAACATTTAAACTAGTCTTTTCAACAGGCATAAGGAAAAGAATTTGAGACTGGAAATCCAGTTGTAAGTTGTTACCGTTGTAAGTCAGGATAATTAGATTTCCAGTCCCAGTTGCAGTTGTAAATTGAGGAATACATATATACTGGTTTACTTACAGTTCAGACAAAGCACATGTCCACGACCTCATATTTTTTTCTTAAAAACTGAAGACATTGCCTTTTCTTAAATAAATATTTGTTTATGTTTATTTAGACTGAAGGTCCAATCCTTGGAGAGAAAACCCAGGATGGATCCTAGCTGTGATCATCACTTTCTTCATCGTGTTTTGGGGAAAACTGTACACATCACACTGAAATGTGGCACATTCCAGGGAATATTGCAACATGTGGATTCCAGTCAGTGTATCTTTCTAAACAGAGGTATTGCTGGGTTTTTTTAAATTCAGTGCATTTGTACTGAAAATTGTAGTAGGATTTGATGTATTTTCTCTATCAATACGACTAATTTCTATATAATAAGGTCTCATTCTAGATTGTTTTGTGGAATAAAAACATAGTTTGGTCACAGGTTATCAAAAAGATGAAGTATGTGAATAAATATTATATTTGCAATTGCATCTCCCCACCCCATCACCAAATTCCCAAGATTAACGTCTCACTTTTCAGAACATTCAATTTAATGTTATTTCCTTAGAGGTCAAGCTCCAAACTTTTTTCTCTAGAGCTTGTTTAAAAGTTCAAATCTGGATTGGCTGTGAAAGTAAAAAATGCTGGATTGAATTCCAACTTCTAGAAATTTGAGAAGAAAATGAATAACTCCAGTACTCGAAGCTATTATATTTGTGGTGTGAGTTCTTGGCAGATATACTAGCAAAGCAACATTCCTCTCTTCCTAGTAATTTATTTGCTGTAATCCTAATAATTTGTTTGCTATAATTTTTATGAACATCTGATCTAGGATGATCAGCAAAAGAATTGGATAAATTATAATCACGCTTATTCTTCCTAACTGGAGACTTGAACTTAAAATATTGGACAATCTTAAACACCACCAAGCTGAAAACTTAGCCTTGTTAATCTTTGTAGCAGAACCCATCCAGAATCAATCAAACTATGTTTCATGAACTTCTTGAAGCTTCTGAGTGGTAAATAGTTCATGTTATTACAGTTTCCTAGTATTGTCACTAACTTATCAATAAAAATTATTTCTTTATATTAGCAACATTCCATCTTTACAATTCATTTCCCTTGATACTAACACATTAGCAATAGTTACCCCTCTGGGTCCATTGAAATTTTCTCCCAGCATCTGAGTGTTATCAGTCTGATTAGATTCAAATAACTCCTTACTTAATGTTTATTAATACTTCATAATAGAATTCATTTCATGATTTAAAATGTTCATAGCAGTTATTTTCAAGTTATACTTTATAACTCACTATGATAAATGTATTAGTGGCACATTGGAGGGCAAATGGTGAGATTTCTATATTTCACACAATCCTTAGCCAACATGTGTCTTGTGCAAGAGTAAATAAATAACTTATTATCATGTACGTGTAAGACTGAATTTCAGCAGAACCTAAGAAACAAAATACACTCAGATTTTAAATAGTAGAAAGAGGCTAATAATATCTTTGCCTCTAAATTACTCAATACCTGCCATCTATTGATAAATTCCAAAGCACTAACTTCACACCTTGAATGAATGAATCATTACATACAATATCTGTATAAAAAGCTCCTCCTGCTGCACTTTGTGTACCAGCTTAAGCTTCTTTTTAATGAAAGGATTTAGTTTGTTGAAAAAGAGAAGTACTTTTTTTAGATAACAGTGTGTTGCTTTAACAATGAAAAGGTTAGTGAGTTCAAGGAATTTTTTAATGTATATCCTTCTTTATAGCTGAACGTTCAAGGTACTTAATAATAGTAAATACTGTATGTATTTTAAAACATGCATAAAATAAATATACAAAATCTAATAAATTCTAATTCTCCAGATTAAAAGAAAATTCTGTTTAAGTATGTTAAATACATTTTAAATGCTTTTTAAATATTAACCTTGATTTAATTTTTATATCTTTGTTGCCTTTTAGGCTTTTTGGCTTTATTTACAACTATCTATGCTTAATTATTTTGAGGCTTCTAAGGAAGAGTAGTATATAAATAGTAAGTTTGAAACAACAGAATGGGTTTTTCTCACCACAAATATAATAATTAAATGTGCTTGAAAATAAAATTTAGCAAGAAGTTTTATAGTTTTAGGGCCAGTAGAAAAGAGGCTATTTTATTAGTAGCCATCTATCAAATCTCAGAGGCAAAGAAGATTCCTTCCAACATAAATCCTAACAAATTAAGGCTATATATATGGAAGACTATATATATGGAACTTCAGTTAACTTAATTTGATGCATATAAACGGAAATACTTTCTGATTTAGTTGGTGTGCAGATTGCAGACTGCTCTTCTGAATCTGAAAACACATTAAATTCCACTGATTCTGTGACAACAAGAGTAAAGACAAAGGACCAACATTTAAGTCAAGAGTTACACAGTACTTCTGCAGTTTTCTACAAGTATTTCTGGATTAATCTATCAATATTTTAAATTCCAGGGAAATCTGCAAGTGCTATTTAGAACTTTGAAATATTAAGAGTAGAGTTCAAATTATTCACTACTATACTTTTAACACAATAAAAGCTGCCCCCATACACATATACTCATCCTGCAGAATCAAGCCAAAGTACCTTCTAATATTATAAAGTAACCAGTTGGATTACTTTGGGAATATTTCAAGCAGAATAGATGGTAACAGCATTTTATCATTGTTGCTGGTATTTAAAGTATGATTTAGATGATAGTATAAATTGAGGGGCCACTGTTCTCCTTGAATTATCTAACCCTCCTTTAAAAGCAATCTAAATAGATGATTACTACCATATCTGATGCAGTGAATTATTTGGCTTAACTATGCTTTGAGTGAAGATGTACTACTACTACTTATTGATCTACTATCTCCACATATTTATTTCAGTGGATGATCCTCCACGTATTTTATATAAATGTATTTGTTATAATATGTATTATGTTTTAGGATTGGTGCGTAAAAGATTGCTAGCAAAGAAGACAGCTTTATCAAAAGTAATATTAGTGTATATTTAGTGAATTAAAGAATAGAAGTTCATGGAAGGGAACTTACTATTTCTGAGTAAGTTATAACTATAACTATTTATAGAGGAAATAATTATTTCGGAGCATTCTCACATCCTAATACTAGCCTATATTATAGTATTCAAAGATATTTTATTCTTTTTTTTTAAACAAATTTTATTGGTTTTTTGATTCTTAGAACAAAGTGCTTGAAACACACCATGGTGCTGGGGTAATCAAACATCCAGAAATAAAACCATATATGAATAACTCAAATCAATACATTAAATATTCCCTCTCTATTTCCCTCAATTAACCCAATACATTTAAGATAATCCGTTTCTAATTTAAATTTCTAAAAATCCTAAACCTGTTTTAGAGCTTTGTGAATTTACAATTAGCATAATCAAATTTGACTTTAAAGAAACAAATTATCAATTCAGGTATCCCTTCCAAATATATTCTAGATCTCAATCTTTTAAATCCTTAATTTTATCACAAATCTCATTTATTTCTTCTTCCACTACATAGTATATCTCCTAATTAAAGTAAAATATTAGTCTATCCTATACATATATAATCCATAAATCAATCAATCTCTTTAAGATAACAAAATGACAAAATAATATCAGACTTTAAATAATTTCAGCCCATTGGACCAAATTCAAATTTCATCCAGTTAATTATCATACCTAATAACGTCCATATTATCAGACAAGAACATCATCTTGCTAATTTAACATACTCAATTAGTTATTAAGTCAATCCATATCTAAAACGCCTCTTCAGTTTTCTTCATTCCATTACATAATAGTTTTCATAGAAATAAACCTATTATTTCAAACCTATTATTCCAAAGTATACATTCTTAATCTATTTAAAATATATATATTCTAATAATCACCCATTTTTCTCTTACTTCTAACTCTAAATCTTAATCTTTAAATCAATCCATAATTCTACAGTGCCTTTGATTCATCACATATAATTTTGAGTTTAACTTTTCAGTCTTATTCTGGCCTTTTTTTTGTGCTAGGCAAGTTTCCATAACAAAGCTTCCCTTTCAGCCAATAAGTCTCTCTTTATTGCTTGTAGTATCATTTGAGACAATAAGAAGCATCCCGTCCTCTGCATTGGGCGTCTATTTCTCTTATCCTTAAAGCTTTGTTGCTTTAAAGGCTCAAATCTCAGTCTTTGATTTTTCTGATCCTCAAAGCTTTAAATGAAATGCTTGTAGGATAAAATAAATTCCTCTTTGGTCTCAATTAAATCCTCTTCTAGTATGTTTTGGTGTATAGAATGGTCAGATGTTATCTGAAAGTCAGTTTGAAGGTTTGGAATATGGCTTCTGACTCTTAATTCTGTAGAACTCTCTTTCATTGTAGCACATATTTCTTCAGTAGCCTCGTAGATCTTTTCCAATATAAGTTTATAGTTCAATTGTGAGTAAGGTGTCTCCATTTTAATAATAATTGAAGAGAGTCCCTTTTTTTTCTTTTAGTGGAGGCTGTATTCAATAAGAATAAAGCAGTATCCACCCCCACAGTCCCCACAGCTGCATCCGCTTATGTTTTCTCTTCAAAAGTAATATGAAGGCCAAGTCCATCTCATCTCCAAACAGTAACCAGCAGTTGCAATATTAACTTTTCCCCAGTAGGTGTCCTCAATAGGTTAAAACATCTTTTCCAGACACCATTTTTTCCCCTTTTCTATCTTTTAGAGAAAAAGGTGGAAAAAGAAACAATCTTCCAGTATCGTATGATAGTAGAGCTCTTAAAAAAAGTTTTTTTCTGTACCCCAAAGTAGATAAGAATACAGTGTAGTCTTTACATTTTTTTATTTTAACCTTTTTGTTCATTGCCTTTCTTCCCACACATACCAAAGCTGCTTTTTCAAGACAGGAAAATAATTCCAACAGAGCTTTTACAGGCAAAAAAAAAAAAGAACAAAGTAGGGTGAAGAGAGGAGGAGAAGGGGTCTCACCCAGATCATCCGCGGTGGGTCTATTCACGCTTAGATGTTGCTGTGACTTTCAGCCGGTGCAGCAGGGTAATCAGCCATCTTACGGGATGATCTTTTGCTCCGTCGGCCCTCAGGAAATAGCTGGAGCCACGAGAGAAGCTGCCGCCCTCCCGCAGTCTCCAGCAAGCCTCCTCTTTGGGCGACGTTCGACCCACAAGAGGTCTACCGGCGAAGAAAAACCCAACTGGTGTGGAAACAAGTCTCCAAATGCGACCGGAGTCGCTGCGAACCGGAACCGGAAGTCCAAAGATATTTTATTCTTATTGGTTCTAAATTTTAGTATTAAACCAAATTTTTTGTTTATCTAAAGAGAATGACACTGATTCTGTTTGTTTCTTTCAGTTAAAAATTTGGAAAATGGCAGAAATGTACCTGGAATAAAGAGGTTCTTTGGCCATGAAATTGTTAATGGTGAGAATATTTTACAGTTACATTTAGAAAATATTTTATATTTGATATAATGTAAACTGATATATTCAGGACCTCATATTAATTAGGAACTTTTCCAATCTCAAATTTCCAGCTGACAATATTTACCATATATTCTTTGATACTGACTGAAGTATGAAAAAAGTTTTAAATATATTTTTGAATACATTTTCATTAGACCGTTGATTTTATCATAAGCCTTAGAACACAATGGTGAAATGAATTACTATAAAAGAGACTTTGGAGGTCATCTAGTCCAGCCCCCTGCTCATGCAGGAAACCCTATACCATTGATGGCAAACCTTTTAGAAACTGAGTGCCCAAACTGCAACCCAAACCCCACTTATTTATCGTCGGGTGCTGGGTGGGCGTGGTCCAGTGGGTGGGTGTGACCACTGGGTGGGTTTGGCTGCAGTGGTCATGGCAGTCTGGGTGGGCATGGCTGGAGTGGTCGTGGCCACTTTGATGTTGCTCATGGGGAGGGACACCTATGGGGGCCGGACAGGGTTGGGGGAGATCCAGGGGGTCTCTGGCAGGTGGGACAGTGGGCAGGAGGCTCTTCCTGCGGGGTGAGGCGAGACCAGGCAGGGGGCAGGGCAGGGGTGCTATTGCCGCAGGGCAAGGCAAGCAGGGACCGAGGCGGGTGCTGTTTGACACCATCGGCCCCGCACACAGGGAGCGCATGGGGGCCAACTGTATCTGTCAGCAGCCACAGCCTGCCAGCCCCTCAACCGGTGCAGTCTGAGGCTCCGCAGCCCTCTACAAATACTGGGCCAGCCCTCCAGCAGCAGGTGGAGTAGGGGAGGGGGGATCCGGTATACCAGTTCCTTACCTCTGCCCGGCTTGTTCCATGGCCTCATGGCAGTGGCATTGTGCAGGAAATGGCAAACGGCCGGTTTCGACGCAACTGTTTGCTGCCGGCTGCGGCCATTTGCCGCCTTGCACGTCGCACCCAATGCCGCTGCCATAAATTCACAGAACAAGCCGGGCGGAAGTAAGGAACTGGTATACTGGTTTCTTACCACCGCCCGGCTTGTTCCACGGCTTCATGGCAGCGGCATTGGGCAGGAGGCGGCAAAAGGCTGGTTTCGGCGTGGCGCGGCTGTTTGCCACCTTGTGTATTGTACCCAATGCCACTGCAGTGCGGCTTGGCCGAAAGCAGCTGTGGAACAAGTGGGGCAGGTTTCCCCCTCACTTGCCCATTCAGCTACAACTTTGGTGGCTCTGTAGGCAGAGTTGTGAAGTTCTCTTCTTTGATAGAGAATGAAGTGTTGTAAGTTGAGGACTACCTGTATAGTTTATAAAACTGCTGTAATCTTCTATTTTTCACATTACATAGAACTCTTGTCTCATCATTCCTTTCACCTTCTGCTTCTGATCCTGAAAAGGAAATGCCGGTTTTGGATTTCCCTCTTTTGTAGCCTAGATCAGTGAACCTTTTAGAAACCAAGTGTCCAAACTGCAACCCAAAACCCACTTATATATCATCGGGTGCCAGGTGGGCATGGCCCATTGGGTGGGTGTGGCCCATTGGGTGGGCATGGCTGCGGTGGTAATGGCAGACTGGGTGGGACTAAAAAGTTCAATCAATCAGTTCCAACTTTGCGAGATCTTTTTTTCCCCCCACAAGAAGAAGAAATTGATTGATTGATTGAACCTTTTTTTTTGTTGCACACGGCGTGGGAGGGCTTAAGCGAAAAGGTTTTATAAAACCCAGCTGAAGGCCTAGGATTGGGACGATGGCATGCATGCCCACAGAGAGGGCTCTGCATGCCACCTGTGGCACGCGTGCCATAGGTTCGCCACCACGGGTCTAGATCAAACATGCAAAGCCTCAGGGCTCAGCTGAGAAGGGGGTATATTTTCTTTTTAGATGGCATAAGGGGTGAAGAGAGCTTTACTGTTGGACCTGCAGCAGCTGAGGGTGGGAGAGTGACTTGTTTCTTGTTCAGGTCAGCAGATAGAATTTCAAGAAGAGATTGGACAGCCATTTGTCTGGAATGCTTGCTTGCTTGAGCAGGGTTGGACTAGAAGACCTCCAAGATCCCTTCCAGTCCTAGTATTTTATGTTCTATGTTCCATGTTCTAATTATGGATCATAATTGTAGTGGTGAGAAGTGTCCAAAGTTGAGTTATCACTGGAAGTCTTTTCCTTCACATTTTTAATCCTATCTGTGCTAATAAAATAAGAGCCAGTTTATTGGGAAAATTATTTAGGATTGTGTTGAATATATAAGCTGCATAAAATTGTAAATTACCTGCATGTAGTTTTTTTTTAAACATGTTTGCTTGTTCTCTTCCCTGTTTGCTATTTCTAATCTATCTCAAAACCTTGAAAAGTTCCAAGGTGCTCTTCTGAATGAAGATCTTAAACAACAAACTGCTATTGCAAAGATATGACTGGTGTAATCTAAGTTTCTTTGACAACAAAGCCAAAATGGTTTTAAGAGAGTTAATTTAGAATAAACCATTGCAGCCTATATTCTATTTGCATAAAGCTTACATGTAAAATTATATAATCCTGTTGTGGTATGTAACATGCATATTTCATGGCTTGTTGCTATTTGATTAAACCTATTTTCTATCATGCTCTAATGCTGGCAGGTTTACTTGTTACTATGTCTGTATTCACTTTTAACTTATCTCATCTGGTTATTAAGTATAGTTCCTGGCTGAACTTTAAATCCTTAATAGGAGCTGTTTTATATTTCAGTGGAATTGCTTGATGACTTAGAACAATCTGCTCCAGAAAGAAATTTCACTCCTACTGGATCCAGGTACACATGAGATTTTTGTTATGAGAAATTATTGAGATCCTGGCTATTAGGAAAAGTATTGTCAGTGGAAAATCTTATTTGTATATTAGTGATCTATCGAACAGTGGACCAGGAACATAATGAAATTAAGGCTGCCCACTATTATTTAATAATGTTCGTGTATATATAGTATGTGTATCTATTACATATAATATAACCTTCTTCAATTTAGTGTTGAAGTGCTATGCCATTATTTCCAGCCAAAGAAATGCTATTATATACTATCATACTATAAATATGTATTTGTCATGAACCTACTTTACTTCAATATCAATAAGGAGGCTGCTCTAAATATTGTATTTTCAAGATCTTCACCCCAAAATTATGTAAATTACTGGCTAAGAAATCAATTTCCTAGCATCTTATTTTAGATCTCATCTCCTTCCTATCCTTGTCAGAAATAATGAAATTAGCTGAAGTAGAGATTCAACCTAGATTCAGGCATTATGCTAAGCCTTGATTTGCTTAATAATGATTGAATCCACAAATGTTGGATTAAGACACCCATCTTACTGTGGAGCCCTTAGTGCTCTCTCAGCATTGTTGTTTTCTTGCAGACATTTCATTACCCAGCTAGGTAACATCATCAGTGCTAGAAGGGAGTACTATTGCTCTCTTCTTATATACTACTGCAGGGGTCTTCGAACTTGGCCCTTTTATGACTTGTGGACTTCAACTCCCAGAATTCTTCAGCCAGTGTGCCTGGCTAAGGAATTCTGGGAGTTGAAGTCCACAAGTCATAAAAGGGCCAAGTTTGAAGACCTCTGTCCTAGTGGCTTACCCTGTCACTGTTTGTGGGAGTGGTTCCTTGATTAGGCTGTTGTTTACTGTTAGCTCCCACCAAGGAGGAACAACAGAAATCAAACCATAACAGGAAGGTCTTCACTATAAGTAGTTCTTGACTTATCACTGTTCATTTAACAACCATTTGAAGTTACAATGGCACTGAAAAAAGTGACTCATGACTATTCATCATTTTATGACTACCACAGCATCTCCAAGATCACGTAATCAAAATTCAGGCACTTGTCACGTATTTACAACAGTTGCAACAACCCAGGGTCAAATAATTGCTATTTGTGATCTTCCCGGCCAGCTTCCGAAACACAAAGTCTGGGAAGCCAGATTTGTTTAATGACTGCATGATTCACTTAACAACTGCAGAAGGCTACAACTGTCTGAAATCGACCAAGAATCACTGCTGGATCAAAGCACCCATAGAGCTAATGTTTTCCCAGTGAGCCAGCAAAATCAGGTGCCGCTAAGCACTCCTTGCTTAGCAATGGAAATTCTGATTACCAGCTGTGATTGTAAGTCAAGGACTACCTATAATGAAGCTTACCCATCCATGCAGATCTATGGAAATGAAAGCAGTTCACTATGAACTCTTATATTGTAACTTCTATAGGAATATTTAGGATAATTACATCTTAACCCTGTCCAGGAAGGTCAGCCCAGGAAGGATGGATACAGGATGGATGAGACTGGACAGCCATTTGTCTGAAATGGTATAGGGTTTCCTGCCTGAGCAGGGGGTTGGACTAGATGACCTCCAAGGTCCCTTCCAACTTTATTATTATTATTAATTATTATTATTCTATAAACCAATTCTTACAGATATGAAATTATTTATGACCCTTACCATAGCTAAATTTTGTCTTACTGTGATGAAAATGAGGCAACAGTTGATACAAATATATATATATATTACTACTTTTCCTTTTTAGCTATTTTTAATATAATTTTTCTGATTAAATTGATTGATAGTACAAGGGTCCTCCTTATCACAATTCTACCTCTAGAACTTCATGGAATAGCAGAATAAATAGCTTTCTAAAAAAACCCAAAAGGATGGGAGCCAATCTAACCTTGGGAGCAATGCTGTTCCAGAGAAGGAGTGGCTATGACTGTGAAAACTTTGTATTGTAGGCAACTTTCAACTGATGGTTGCATTGAAACTGCCACTTAGTTGCCAAATTTATCTTTTTTTAAAAAAAAATAAAATATAAATGAGAAAATTATAGGTGGCCATTTATTTTACATTCCTTTGTCTTTGGGACAAAGTCTATACATGCACTTTGGTTGAATTCCTTAGATCTAGCTTTTCTGCTCCATTACCCATTAGCCATGCTTCAGATGCTGCCTTATTTGATGCATTAAATTTATTTTTGTATCATAATCTTTATGATTGACCTTGCCTTTGGTCAGGGCTTTTTTTGTCATAGAACGCCCAGAACGGAGTTCCGGCACTTTTTTGGGATGGAACCTTGTAGGGTAGGCAAGGCGGGTTGTATGACATGTGTGAGTTCCGGCACCTTTTTTTTTTTTTTAACAAAAAAAGCACTGCCTTTGGTAATGCATTTAGCTAAAGCTAAAGGATTTTTTTTTCCTTTTTTTATTAAAAAGTTTTATACAGTATACAATATCCCAAAACCCACCTCTAACCCTCCCCCCACTTCCCAGAGCTGAGTACAGGGTTACAAATTAATAATCAAATTCTAATTAACATTACCCAACTATATAAGTAACCAAATCCATAAAATACTTTAACTCCCATTTACGATAAATATAAGCAAATTAAAACAAAAAGAATAATATAAACAAGTCAATATTAATTAAACCATAGTAATACCAAATCTAAAATGAGTTATTATACTATCAGTACTAATCTAAAATTTACTCATAAGATAAATGAAACTTTTTAATCCCATATTTATTCTGAATATAATCTATCCATCTTCTCCAAACCGAAATATATCTTTCTTGTGTACATTCCTTTTGAATGACAGTAGAATAATTAGCTGATAAAGCAAGGTTTAAAGAATAGTTAATATCTGCAGCCAAAAGCATATTTGATAAAAAAAACAACAATAACTCATTACTATATATAAAACAGTTTAATTTGGGTTGGCTAAAATGTAACCAGCATCCTGACAACAATTTTACTTTTATTAAACAAAATTCAAATAATATTTTCTGCAGGGAATTTCCACTTACTAAGTTGTCTGAAATCGACCAAGAATCACAACTGGATCAAAGCACCCATAGAGCTAATGTTTTCCCAGTGAGCCAGCAACTCTGTTTGGGTAATGTTCACTTCAGTACTTAATTTGGAAATCATTTATGTCCTGCACAATGTGCATGAGCATCCATGGAATAGGATGGCAAGTGACAAAATGTGTGTGTTGACAATGGCATGCAAATAAAGGGGTACAAATGTGTAATGGCTGCATTTGTCTGAGGATATTACTTGTGTTTTGTCAATTTGGCTTATGGATTGCTGATACTATCGTCTTAGTGTTTAGAAACCCCTAGAAATACCCAAGATCACATATTACTGAAATTTAACAAAAATTAGGTTTTCCTCACGTTGTCAGGAAGAAACAGTTATATTAAGTTTTAGATGGACTTAAAAGGTAGCAACAGGTAGCAACATCTAACCAACCCTGGCTGTTTTTGAAAAAAAGTTACTGCCAAGTTTTATTCCAATCATTACTTAAGAGCTAGTGGATGGAGATTCAAGGACACAGCTTTTTGATTAGCTAATTGTATTACAAATATTGGAAAAGTTGATATTAGAAAAGAAAACTAGTAATGGATATCTATAAGCCTAAAGCCATTTGGCCCCCTCTTTCTCTTTTCCAATCGGTCCCCACGTTAAAATCTTATATCTCTTTTTATCTCCCTAAGTCAGTGGTTCTCAACCTGTAGGTCGGGACCCCATTTGGGGTCGAACGACCATTTCACGGGGGTCGCCAAACAATCCAGTCCGCCATTTTTTCCCCTTTTCCTTAGCTGTGCTACTCCCTTTTATTCTATTGGCTTTTGAAAGCCAATAAATAGACTCACTTGAATAGAGTCTAATTCTATTGGCTTTCAAAAGCCAATAGGAATTGTCCAGGCTGTCTCTGCCCTGCTGAGCCCGCCAAAAGTCCCATTCTGCAAACAGTTCTGCACCAGTTGAGTAGTCCTCGACTTACGACTGGTTGGGGGTCGCGGCATTAAAAAGGTTGAGAACCACTGCCCTAAGTGCTGCTATGGATCAGAATGAGACCTGGTTGATTTTAAGTTGAAGGAATAATTGGTGTTTGTGACTATTATGTTAATAGGTCTATGAAGTCTCAGGCTCTTTGAATCTGGCTCACAACTAAATTGGCTTAAATCTCATCTCATTTGATGAAAGAGCATAAGGAAATCCCAAGGCTACAGGGCAAATGGGGAAGCTGAAAAAAACATCTCAGAAAAAGAGAAGAGTAAACCATGTTTTAATTGTTCCCGAAAACGCCACATTGATAAGCGTATATAGCCATCAAATGTTGATTTTGACTCAAGGAAGCCTTTACCTTTACTTTAGGCTTATTATGCCTAGAAAAGGTTAACCAAGAAACTAGAAAAACCAGAAAACGGAAAAGTACAGCATCCAATTAGCACATACTTGGCTTCTTTTTTCCTAGTCATATTATAAATATGATCTTTTATAATTTTTTGAAGTTCACCTTTCTTTTTATTCAACAAACATACATTGCATTCACATACTGCTAAAAGGCATAATGGGTTTTCCATTTTTTGAGATATTTATCTACACATATACATATATTTATATTGATACACATGCTGCAATAATGTGCTCGGATTCCCAGGAGTTTACAATAATAAAACAATATTTAAACTAAAACAGCAATGCCTTAATAATACATTCCATCAATACTTATAATACATAAGCACCATTCCCCAAATACTCACTGAAAAACTCTTATTTTTATAGCTTCTGGAAGGCTATTGGGACTGCCATGAACTGATCTCAGGATGGAAGCTGTCTGTAACATAGGGGCTGTAACAGAAAAACAGCATGTGATCCTACTGTCTCACTACTGATGATCATTAATACATTTTGTTGGGGAGAATACACTGGGTGACTTGATCCCTTGTGGAATGTCCAAATATAATACAGAACTAATACATGTGCGAAGGAATGCTTTATTGTAAGCTTTATCATAGGGTGGATTTTGATGGCAGGAACAGAAGTGGTTCTTTGTTTATCTTGGGTTCTTGAGCTAACATGGCATGAGGCCGGATTATTTAAGAAACCACTTTCCCCTGGTGATATCTCTCCATCCCATCAGGTACAGCAGAAGACGCTTGTTGAAAGTTCTATCCACTTGAGAATGTCGTCTGCTGGGACCCAGGAGGTGGGCCTTTTCTGCTGCTGCACCCTCTCTATGGAACAACATTCCTCCCAAAGTCAGGTTGATAATTATTCCAGGAGAGCCAGAAAACCTGTTCTGTCTTCTGACCTGGAGATCAGGGTGGTGCGGAGCTCATAAAATGGCTGTACTCTTCTTGAGTATCTATATTCTTCTGGTGACTTCCTCTAAGACTTTTATTTGTAAACTAGACAACCCATGATCTCAGAAATATTTCTTACCTGTATAAAGAAGTAAAATGATTATGGGCGGGCACAAAAACAATGGGAATAGGAGTGTCAGGCCCCCAAAACAAAGAAAGAGTTGATTCTTCCTTAATGTATTGTTCCACATCTGTAGACAGAAACTTGTAAAACTGAAGCACCCTATTGTCTATATCAAGCATAAATTCTGATAAGTGTTATGGAGGGGCTATCTGCATCCACTTTGTCTCACACAAACTATCTGAACTGAACTGCTTCTTATTTGATCACTTGACTATGAGCCAGCAGTGTGCAGCAGAAACCAAAAATGGTAATACAATCCTAGGCTGTATAAACAGAGGCATAGAATCAAGATCACGTGAAGTATTAGTAGCGCTTTATAAAACCCTAGTAAGACCACACCTGAAATTCTGCAGCCAATTTTGGTCACCCTATCACAAAAAAAATGTTGAGAGTTTGGAAAAAATTCAAAGAGCAACTAAGATGATCAAAGGCCTGGAGACAAAAACATATGAAGATTGGCTGCAGGACTTGGGTTTGGCTAGTCTAAAGAAAAGAAGAAATAGAGGAGACATGATAGCAGTATTCCAGTATTTGCGGGACTGCCACAAAGAAGAGGGTGTCACGTTATTCACCAAAGCACCAGAGGGAAGGACGCGAAACAATGGTTGGAAACTGATCAATTAGAGAAGCAACCTGGAATTAAGGAGAAACTTCTTGACTGTGAGGACAATTAACCACAGGAATATCTTGCCTCCAGAAATCGTGGGCACTCCATCACTGGAGATTTTTAAGAAGAGACTAGACAGTCACTTGTCTGAGATGGTATAGGTTCTCCTGCTTGAGCAGGGGGCTGGACTAGAAGACCTCCAAGGTTTTCCAGATTCTTCTCTTCTCTTCTCTTCTCTTCTCTTCTCTTCTATTCTATTCTATTCTATTCTATTCTATTCTATTCTATTCTATTCTATTCTATTCTATTCTATTCTATTCTATTCTATTCTTACTTTGGATGCATCCCTTCCCTCCTGGGAATCCTGCCCACAATATACCATCATAGGCGGTGACTTCTAACTTCCTACCGGCTTCCCCGTTGATTTTGTTTCTGGAAAAGCTGGCAGGGGACATCACGATCACATGACCACAGATGACCACGATGATGCTGCAGTGGCAACAACTTGGTGTGAAGATGCTTAAAATTTTAATTACATAGAAGTAATAAATCCTGAATTTTATATACATTATAGAAGCTAATGGATTTGAGTCCCAGATTTTATATGCATTCTATAAATTAGTGGATTTGAGTTACCTTGATTCAAATTTCTGCATAATGATGCTCAATCTGGGCTTATAGAAGGTGGCAACCAAACAAACAGTGTAATATAGTTTAGTAGTATATATGTTTTTATTGTTTGTATGACCTTTTTCTGGTAATGTTTATGTTTTAATTGTAAACTTCCTAGAGTCATGAATGTGAGATGGGCAAGTATATAAATTGAATATATAAACATCTCAAATATTAACTTCATATTAGCATAAAATATATCCATCAGAGCAAAAGAGGACATTGGTTTTCAACTACTATGGCTTCCACTGTATACTATTAAATATAGGATTGGAAGCTAAAGTAGTATTTTTTAAAAACATGGGGAAAAAGCAAAGATATATTTTAATGCTATTTATAAGTATAGGACTCCATTTGTAACTGAAGAAAGAGATATGGCATGTTCCTATACAACCACCCATAGTAGCTCAAATAACAAAACATATATTTATTAAAATTGTTCATACATATATAGATTGAATAATAAAGCCAAATGGAATCTTTCAGTACAAAAACTATATATTAGGAGTTATTTATTTAGCATATGATGAGAACGTGACAAAAGAGAAGTAAAGATATACACACAATCCATGTAATTATATACAAAACATCTATGGGGATACAGCAGTAGCCTCATAACTGAATGTCCAATTCAGTTATATAGTTATCCTCTGGCTTTGCTTCGTGCTGGTCTTCTAGGGAACCAGAGAATGCATATTGTGGGCAATATGTGTAATACATTGTGTGCACAATTATTAGGCAGGGGAGTATTTTGACCAAATCATCGTCATGCATATTTTCCACCTCCAAGCTGTATAAATTTGAATGCTTAGTGCAGAGGTGTCAAGCTCACAACGTAACATGACGTGTCATGACATATCACAATTTTTTTTCCATTGCCTGCAATGGGGTGGGCATGACACCCCTGGCTTAATGGATATAAGCATATCAGGTGATTTATATTTATGTAATGAGGGAGGGTGTGGCCTAAAGACATCAACACCCTATATCAGCGGTGACGAACCTATGGCATGCGTGCCAGAGGCGGCATTCAGAGCCTTCTCTGTGGTCACGCGCGCCATGCCCCAGAATGGCAACTGTCCCTCTTCAATCAGCCACCCACTAACTCGCCGAGGTCCTACATGGCCGGATGCATCCCAGCATGGCTGGTTTCCTTCCCCCCGTCCCATCCCTCCTGACCTCGCATGCTCTCCTTTTTTCAGGGCACGACCCACTGCATCTATGCTTCTCTGAACTGCTAGCGGCGGGCTGCGGAGCCCCAGAGTGCGACGGTCAAGGGGCTGGCAGGCTGTGGCTGCTGATGGACACCGTTGGCCCCCATGCGCTCGCTGACCTCTGTGTGCGGGGGCTGATGGTGTCAGGCAACAGCCACCCCGGCCCGCCTTGCCCTACGGCAATGGCACCCCTGCCCTGCCTCGCCTTGCCTTACCCTGCAGGATGAGCCTCCCGCCCACTGCCCCACCTGCCAGAGACTTCCTGGATCTTGCCCAGCCCCCACAGGCGTCCCTCCCCATGAGCAACGTCGAGGTGACCACGCCCACCTTGGCCATACCCACCCAGTTTGCCATGACCACAGCCACACCCACCCAGTGGGCCACGCCCATCTGACACCCGGCAATAAATAAGTGGGTTTTGGGTTGCAGTTTGGGCACTCAGTCTCTAAAAGTTTCGCCATCACTGCCTTATATCAAGTTGTGCATAATTATGAGGCAGCTTCTTTTCCCTAAGGTAAAATGAGCCAAAAAAGAGATTTAACTGACTCTGAAATGTCAAAATTGTAAAAAGTCTTTCAGAGGGATACAATCTTGGAATTGCTAAGATATCGGGATGTGATCACAGAAACATCAAACGTTTGGTTGCAAATAGTCAATAGGGTTGCAAGAAAAGTGTTGAGAAAAAAAGATGCACATTAACTGCCAAAGATTTAAGAAGAATCAAACATGAAGCTATCAGGAACCCATTATTCTCCAGTGCTCCCATCCAAAATTCCAGAACTGCAACCTACCTTGAGTGCCCAGAAGTACAAGGTGTTTAGTGCTCAGAGACATGGCCAAAATAAGGAAGGCTGAAACCCGATCACCACTGAATAAGACACCTCAGTTGAAATGGCAAGACTGGGCCAAGAAATATCTGAAGACAGATTTTTCAAAGGTTTTATGGACTGATGAGATGAGAGTGACTCTTAACCAGCTGGATGGGCTCGTGGCTGGATCAGTAATGGATACAGAGCTCCACTTCAACTCAGATGCCAGAAAGGTGGAGGTGGGGTACTGGTATGGGCTGGTATTATCAAAGATGAGCTAGTTGGACCTTTTCGGGTTGAAGATGGACTCAAAATCAACTCCCAAACCTACTGCCGGTTTTTAGAAGACACTTCCTTCAAGCAGTGGTACAGGAAAAAGTCTGCATCTTTCAAGAAGACCATGATTTTTATGTAGGACAATGTTCCCTCGCATGCATCAAAGTACTCCACTGCGTGGCTAGCCAGTAAAGGCCTTAAAGAATATTCACCTCCTTCCTCACCTGACATAAACCCTGTTGAGAACTTGTGGGCCCTTCTTAAACAGGAGATTTATGGTGAAGGAAAACAGTACATCTCTCTGAACAGTGTCTGTGAGGCTGGGGTTGCTGCACAAAATGTTGATCTTCAACAGATCAAGAAACTGACAGGCTCCATGAATGGAAGGCTTATGACTGTTATTGAAAAGAAGGGTGGCTAATATATTGGTCACTGTTTTTTTGTTTTGAAATGTCAGAAATGTTTATACATTCTGAGTTTTTTGTTTATTCTCACTTTAACAGATGCAAATAAACGAGTGAGATGGGTAAATTTTCATTTTTCATTTAGTTGTATAATCATTCTGCACAATAATAGTTGCCCAATAATTGTGCACACATAGATATTCTCCATTGACCGAGAGCACTATAGTTGTTCAATAAGAAAATTAATTCTCCAAAATACAACTTGCCTAATAATTGTTCACACAGTGTAGTTTGTATATTAGCACCATAATCGCAACGAGGGGAATCTTGCCATCCCTCCCTATACAGGGCAGAAGCACTTCTTCCAGCATCACACCTAATTCTGTTAATTTCATCCAGACAGAGCGAGGCAGGTTAAAACCAGGTGGCTTGGTAGAGGGATCATTAATGGCCATGCCATAAGAAGATACCTTGGACCATTCCTCTCTCCAGGATTCTGGGGGTTAAACTGGGTAGCTATTAAGTGAACATCAGTTTTCCATTCTGGCCAATGAGATTTCAATCTTATGATCTGCTGTTCATTTTCCTGGTGAATAGGGAGGGCCTTGTCATTCAGCATCTTTGATCATAGCTGGACAGGAGCTAGTTGTCTTCTAATGTGGGAGTGTATAATATTGCTAAGTGCTAGTAACCAGTGCACAGGAATGGAATGCAACATGCCAGAGATGATAACATCTTGTCTGGTGGAGTTGGACATCAACCATTTGGGTGTGGGCACTGTTAAGCCACATGCTGGCACAATACTCAGCTGTGGAATAAAGCAAACCAATATTAGGAGTGAAGTTCAATTTGAGGGATTCTTTTGATTCTTTATCTTGTTAAGTGGCTAGCAAAATACCGCTTACCAGAAATCCAATTGAATAACTTGGTCTTAGAGGCATCATATGTGAGGATGCTTTGAAAAACCAACTTTATCTTGATTGGTTTGATTTATTAATCTTATTTTATCTATTTTTGTAGAGGAAGAAGCATCATATATATTTTATATATTATATAGTGATTACAGATAAAGATAACACTTTCAGAGGTTGTTTTAATTTTATTACAGATGAAGATAATGGGGAAAACATAGAATATATTGTTATCAATCAATTCCAGAAGACATTTGGTTCTGCTGTAAGTAGACGTTGTTGCTTCTTCTCAAGGGTGTTTTATTATTTTGCTATATCCCAATTCATCCTGAATATCTCAAGAGGATTTATTCAAGGGCTGCAATTAGTGAAGCCCTTTTATATGTTGATACAAAAATCTTAAGTAAAAAATGGAGAAAATAGCATTATGTTTTAAAATGTAAATTTCATACATTAAAAAAATCACAGGAAAAAGAGCAATTCCAATTTAGGGTTTTCTGTTTATAATAATGGAGAAGCATGGTTGTTTGTGGTTTTGAATCATAGTTGAGCCTAAATTTGGTAACCAAATTATTCCAGTCTTCCCTCCCCTCCAGATCACCTAATCGGGGTCCAAAATTCAAATAATCCACTTACTCAGAAAATTGTAGAAATTTTGATTTCTTTCTCATAAAATGCTTTGATAGACTTACCTTGTTGCAGACCCAGAGTAAACTGAAGTGCGCCTTCAGAGATCTAAAATTTAAGATCTGACGGAGACAAGGAGGAAGGAAAAAGAAGCTGCCATCTTGTTAACAGCATAGAGCAGTGTTTCTCAACCTTGACAATTTTAAGGCATGTGGACTTCAACTCCCAGAATTCTGGGAGTTGAAGTCCACATGCCTTAAAATTGTCAAGGTTGAGAAACACTGGCATAGAGAATAGGAAACTCCTCACTCCATGCCTACCTAGCAGGGAAGAGACTGCCAGAAATAGGTTGCAGCTTGTCAGTTTAATCAGGCACTATAGATCATTGCCTGAGAAGAAGCAAGTCTGTTTCTGGACTGGGCAGGGCAGGGCAGGCTAAGGAGCAGCTGAATTCCTAGCCTCAGAGTGTCATCACAGCTAAAGCATAATCACCACCCCTCTTGTTTATGGCTTTAAAGTGAAAAGTGTAGCTGTACGTTCAGGGTTGGCGAATTGAAGAATGGCTGTACTCTGAGTCCCATTTAAGATACTAGTGATATCTTGATCTGCAGCTTGGAATGCTGCCGTCCTTTGGTCTGCTATGTTTGAGTCGAGAACTACCTTAGGGAGCATCCATAGGAAATGGTGAAATCAGCAAGCTGATGCTCTACTTCTGGCCATTACTCTTCTGCTATGTGAATGAGTGAGATTTTATGAGTGAGGCTTTCAGTGTGTGGTCCAGTCACGCTGAACAACTATTTCAAAGAATCATGGAATCTTCCTGAACAGTGGCAAAATCTCTATTGATTTCCCCTGTGTTGCAACGTCTCCATTTCCAGCAGAAGAATCCTTCAGTGGATTAAAGTTTTCTTCCCAATGCCCCCCACCTTCAAAAGGTTGCCATATTTATGGAACTAAATTAAGAATAAACTCAGCTGATGTAAGATGACACTATTTATGGCACACTTTTTAATTGCTTATAGCATGTGAGGTCCTGGGTGCTCTCTGAGCTTGGTTGTTTTCTTGCAGACATTTTATTACCAAACTAGGTAACATTATCAGTGCTAGAAGAGAGTGGAATTTGCTCTCCTTTTATATAGTAATGGCTTGCCTTATCAATGTTGGTGGGAGTGGTCTTGGTGGTTGCCTGATTAGGCTGTTGTTTACTGTTAGCTTATTTGTCTGAGTTGGTGGTTCCTTGATTGGGATATTGTTTACTTCTTGATTGCTGTTCTAATGTTTGTCTTGGTGTTAATCTCTCATCTGGGTGTTGATTGCTGGTGAGGAGGTGTTTTGGTTTTCTTGTTTCCTTTTTGGCTGTCTCTTTTGAATGGGATGTAGATGTTGTTTATCTCTATGTGACTCTTGATGAGTGATTTGTCTGAGTGCCAGGCTTCCAGGAATTCTCTAGCATTTTTGGATTAGGTTTAGTCTAGGATGCTCACAGTTTCCCAGCTGAAATTATGATTAAGTCTGTCCATATGTTGTGAAAGGAAGGAGTTTTCATCATGTCTTCTGACTGCTAGTTGGTTTTCATGAATGTCATCTATGTACTGATCTGTCTAGAACAGTGGTTCTCAACGTTTGTGTGACGGCGACCCCCGTCACACAAACGTTCTGTGCATGCGCGGCGGCGGCCCCATGCGCAGAGCACATGCACGGCGGTGGCCCCATGCGTGGCGCGCATGCACGGCGGCGCCCCCTGAGGGGGGAAAATGGCGGATCGCCTTCTTTGGCGACCCCCGAAAAATGGTCGATCGACCCCAAATGGAGTCGCGACCCATAGGTTGAGAACTGCTGGTCTAGAATCTATAGCATTCCTACACATAGAACCCAGAGTATGGATTTGGTACGTAGATGACATTGTCACACACTGTGCTGATCAACCTTTTATCTTCCTACATCTAGATGAAGCAGTTTAACTGTGTATACAAAAACTAGTTTCATGTTGTTTTACATGTCTTCCATATTCTGCTATATTTTTTTGTTTCCTTATTAGATGATGCACATCAAAAATCAAAGGGTATGTAGTATAGCAGCAGAGGGTGTCAATTTGTGTCGGCATGGAAAACTTTCTTGGTTACAAGTAAGAATACATAGTGTGCCTTGCAGTTTGGAATGTAAATGTAAAAAAATGATAGTTTTCTTATTAGCAAAAATGGCCTAAGAGTAAAAAATAATCTATCTTTGCCTTTTGGTATAATTCCTCATTTTTGCTGTTTTATATTTTATATTTTGCTATTTTTATATCTGGTGCCCTTCACAGAATTCTCAATTTCTATAGAGAGTACTGGGTGTTTTGGTTGCAATTTGTTTTAAAACATCAAGATATTATGGAAAGTGTTAGTTAGAATCTTTCCATATCAGATTGCATCAATTTAAATAAACAAAATTATTGCCACTGAGCTTAACGCCACTGTGACATCTTTAGAATAAAGAGAAATAAAAAATATTGATACTCTAACCATATTCTAGTATTAATATTTGAGTTACAGATCTATAATTATGTTTTTTTCTGTACATATTTACTATAGGTTGCAACAGAACGTCAGGTTTTCTTATTTGACATTTTTGTTTTGGGAGCTCAAGTGTTCAAGAATGGACTACAAATGATACTGGAGGACCGGAATATTTTGAAAGTATGTCTCTGTGTAGAACAGATATCCAATAACATATGGAGATGAAACATGAAATTGTGTTTTCTAAAAAGCCAGAAAATATGTTACTTTTATTATATTACTTGATCAAAATGATATTGCTTCTTCCTCATATTTCTTAGGTTATCCATGATTGCCGTTGGCTCTCAGATTGTCTTTCTCACCAATATGGAATTGTGCTCTCCAATGTCTTTGATACACAGGTAGCTTGGCAAATACTCTTGTATGTGACCAGATTTGAGAGAAAGTAGCTTAATATGCTACTCCATAAAGTAATACCATAATTGAAAGGTTTCTGTCCTTAATATATATGCATAAAACATTCCATGCAACTTAAGTTTCTCAGTCAAGATATTTACAGCTAACAGCCTTTTATTGCCTTTCTATTTCCTACCGTAGTAACATATCATTGATTTGCTGAAAAATATTCTTAAATCTACAAAAAGCTATTTCTTGGATTAATATTAAAACGATAATGACAGAAGAATAATTCTCTATATTCAATTAGTCAGAAGTGACTAATTGATCCTTTCATGTTTTCTCCTGTAGGTTGCTGATGTATTACAGTTCTCAATGGAAACAGGTGGCTACCTTCCACACAGGATCAGCACTTTACAAGAGTGTTTAATGCGGTATTTGAGGCTGCCTGACAAATGTGTTTCTTTCTTGGAATACAAACAGCAAGCAATTGAGGTAAGATGGTTAGTTCTGATGGCATCGTCATGTGAGTTGAAGGAAATCAGATCTGCTTATAGCCCTTTATCTATTTTATACCTTCTTAAGGTTGTAACGGAAATTAAAGTATGTCTAAAATAGCATACACTTAATATTAATCCTAAATACTTATCCATGATTTTTCTTTATTTTGTACAGAGCTAGATGTGGCAGATAACAAGGTAGAATTTATGTTGTGTAGTGTAAAATATTTTGTAGCTCTTCGAAATGAAATGAATTAATTTCTACACTGTATTGTCCCCCTCCTTTACTTCCCCCCACTTGGGGTATGCTACTGCCTTCCTTGGAAACTGCTGTCTCACCACAGTCCATCGCACCACCACTGTTAGCACCAGGGCTTTTATGTCATACAACGCTCAGAACGGAGTTCCGGCACCTTTTTTGGATGGAACCTTGTAGGGTAGGCAAGGCGGGTTGTATAACATGTGTGAGTTCCGGCACCTTTTTATTTTTTTACAAAAAAAAAAGCATGGTTAGCACCATCCCTGACAGCAACCTCCTGCAGCCTTCCCCACCGAATGGGCTTGTCAGAAACCAGCAGTGAAGGTCATAAATGGCAATCACATGGTCACAGGACAATGCATCCATCCTAATTGCAAGCCTGTGGCAAGTGCCTGAATCATGACCACATGAAGGCATGCTATGATGGCTGCAACTTCAAGGATCAGTGCGGTTATAATGTATAAAATATATATAATTTAAATGGCCTCTAAACGAATGGCCATTAATCGAGGACCACCTGAATTCTAATTTTTGGTGCAAATATGGGATCTTAGGCAATCCAACAGACTCTTATTTTGATGCAAGTTTTATTAAATTCACTATCGCTCATTTTTAAGTAAATGTGCATAATTTGATGCTAGTTAAGAAAATATCTGATCAGTATTAATGTTTATTTATTGGATTTTGATGCCACCCAACCCCAACTGACTCTGGCCAGCTCACAAAATAACAACAGTAAAAAAACAGTAAAAGAAATGTAATAAAAATTAGGACAACATAACAATACACATATGACATTTCAAACGGAGGCTGCAGGTTCACCACCCTACCCTACAGCCTTTTCAGATGCTTAGAATGGGAGCCATCCAAAGATGTGATTCCTGGATCCTGAAAGATGAAATTGTTTAAGTGAGTGGATTTGGAGCACACTCTCTATGTTTGACTATCCCAGCTAGGCAGAAACCATGGGAGATGGGCATTCCTTTAAATAACTAGCCCTATGCCATGTAGGGTTATACAACTGATAATAAACACCATGATTCTCATCTGAAAGCACACTGGCAATCAGTGCAGCAACAGAGGCACCGTGTGGGCATGACAAAGCAAGCACATCACTGCTTGGGTCACTACATTCTGGACCAGTTGAAGTTTTCGTATGGTGTTCCAGATAGCCCAACACAGAGCACATTGCAATAGTTGAGCCGTGAGGTGACAAAAGCATGATTGATCATCTGCAGGACTACTCAATTCAGGAAAAAATACAGCTAGCATGGAGGTCCTCTTAATCTTCAAGGGGAGTTCTGAGTCTTAGAGGACCTCTAAGTTGTGCCCCACTCCTGATTGGAGGAATAGTGCTACACCATTCAGAAGTAAAGATGGAAATTCCCACAGATCTAGCCAGTCTCAACAACCACAGCCCACCTGGTTTTGGTAGGATTGAGTCAGTTGGTTTCTTTCCATCCAGTCCTGCATCACATCCAGGCACAGGGATGGGGCTTTGATAGCCTCACTTGGCTGACTGAGGCTCAAATAATAATATTAGATATCATCAGCATATCAGTGGAGCCCACACTAATAAATAACCTCAGCCAGTGGTTTTAGATAGATAATAGATAGATAGATAGATAGATAGATAGATAGATAGATAGATAGATAGATAGATAGATAGATAGATAGATAACCTTTATTGTCATTTTTTACTGTGGGCACAATGGCACACATTAAAAAATGAAATTCAGTTGCTTGCTCTCAAAGTGTACACATACATAACACACATTTAAACATTTAAACATATACATGTTGAACAAGAGAGGAGCGAGTGTAAGTCCTATGGCACCTCACAAAGGAGGGGTCTAGGGAATGACTTCTGTCCCCCACCCAACACTGACCGGAATTGATTGTGAAGGAATCACAATCACTTTTAACACAATGCTCCCAATTCCAGCTATAGGATCCTCAGTTTCTCAACACCCATTCCTAAAAAGGGAAGTTAGGAGACTGGGCAGTAGATGGCCTCTTGAAGAAGGGACATGACACAGCCTCCTTCAAGCCTAACAGCACTACCATGTCCCTCAAAGAGGCCAATACCATTGCATAAACTCATTTACAGTCATCTCCCCAACTGCCTTATCAAGACAGGTGTCAAGCTATGGACCCTACTGCCTTTAGGACTGCTGCATGCTTCTAACTTGCCAGCAGCGGGTAGAGAGATGGGGAATGCTTTGGATCCATAGGTGTTCTTATCATCGTGAGAAAGCCGGAGCTGTGAAAGAGTTGTTTTGGTGAACCAAAGTTTCTTCCCATAATAATTACTGGGAGATGTATTGGGCAATATGACTTGAACTGTCAGAGAGGAGAAGAGGAGGTTCATTCTTTTAATTACTTGTTTCCCACTTTTTCTTCAGAGCTAGCTTTCACTTTGAACCTACCGAAATGATTCTGCTCAGTAAAAATTAGATGACTTAATGGCTCTGGTGTTTTTTTTGGTTGGGCCTTTTCAGCCAGAGGTTGACAACGGGAACAGCCTTGGTACAGCAGACAAGAGGCTGAAATAATAGTGCAGAGAATTATGTCAATTTCTTCCCAATGGGGAGTTCGAGTCTGGAGGTGGCTGCTAGATTGACAGCAGACTCTACCTCTCTCTTCCCGCCCCCCCGCTGTCCGCTCCCCACACACCCATCTTTTTTACTAGTCATATCAATGTGTTTTCTTTGTTTTCTTATTCCTTGTTTATTTTATTCTATTATTTTACTTTTGCTTGGTTTAAACTTTTTTTTATGGTTGTGAATCACCTAAAGTAGTCCCATGGCTACCCCATGTAATAATAATAATAATAATAATAATAATAATAATAATAATAATAATAATAATTGTTATGGATCATCGCACAGTCAGCCAGATGTTCAGACTGGATTTGGCATTTTGTCTACCTATCGAGTCCTTACCCAGGACCTGAGATAGGCAGATGTGGATGTTTGATTGTATTACAGATATCGTCGCAGGATGAAAGCAGTTCCTACTATTATTATTATTATTATTATTATTATTATTATTATTATTATTATTTTTCAAGGTTTACCAACTCAAACGTATCCTAACATCATATCATCAGACTTCCCCAATAACTAAGATGAACCCAGCTAATTGGAGTCAAACTTGGTGTGACTTTATCCACCAAATAATCAGAATATTCCTAATACATTAGAACCTGTTGCCTACTCCTGCCTAGCAAAGACTTGATCCCCCTAAGGAGGGCCACTGAGCAGCTACTGGTGAATTCAATAATGGAAGAGAAATAATGACATTCTGCTGCTTTATTGTCACAAAGTAAACCCTAATATGGGCTCTTATTAGTTTAGTGGCTATCCTGATGACATTCTGGAAACTGGCTGAAATAGAACTTCTCTATTTCTGTTGATATAATCTGTGAATCATAGCAGATAGCTTTATTGTTATGTTTTTGTAAATTTTAAATTGATAATGTTTTCATATTTTGATGAAATCAAAGACTAGAAGTCTTTGGCAGATTTTGATGTATTTTTATACAACCAATAAATAAATAGATAAATATTGTTGACATCAATCAATGGAACAGCCTGCCTCCAGAAGCAGTAAATGCTCCAACACTGGAAGTTTTTAAGAAGAGACTGGAAAGCCATTTGTCCGAAATAGTGTAGGGTTTCCTGCCTGAGCAGGGGGTTGGACTAGATGACCTCTAAGGTCCCTTCCAACTTTACTACTATTACTATCTAGGATAAGACTGAGAGCAAATGGCTCATCCAAGCTAACCACTGAGTTCATACAGAGTGAAAATTCCTTCAATGTTTCCTTTGTTTCTTTTCTATAATTATACCTGCACTTCTACTAACAAAGTCAATTTTGAGGAATACCGAAAATATTGTTTTGTACTTTTTCATATAGGAAAATCCTGAGGTCTGGTTTGTGCGACCCCTTCCACCTGTATTGTTGAATATATTAGCCATGGAAACAGCGTATCTCCTCCCTCTCCGTTTGCTGCTGCTTGAGGAAATTATGTCTGATTTAACAGCATTAGTGGATAGTTACTTGAATGCATTTCGGCAAGGATCTGCAGACCCCCTGGGGAGTATCAAGGTAAGTTCCATCTCAATTGTACACTATTGGGTAGGATCATATATTTTATTAATGCTATTAGCTATTAACCACTAAAGTACTTTATTGGCGCTGAATCCTGCATTAATGAAGTTTTGTCATTTTGTTTTAATTATGTGGAAGATTTGCAGTTGCAAAACTTCACTACATGCTTTACATTTTATTGAGAGAGAAGAGGCAAAATGTTGAGTTGGATGTTAATATTCATAATAATTCAGAATTTTCATACAGCAGAACATGTCTATTAAAAACTATTGTTGATTCATTCTTCCTACTATATATTTAATTGTGAAAAGTATTTGTTTTATCTCTATTTCTTATTTTATTATATATCTTGCTTTCTAGGGCATTAGCAAAAGAGCAAGTTCATTAACATTAAATAAAATGTAATAGTAAGTTAAATCAATCAAAATTGATGCCAAATAAGATTAATATCTAAAATATCAAATACAACTGGAAGTATTAACAAGTGTTCACCTCATATCAAAATAATAGTAGTATTGGAACAGGTACAACACCAGTTTTTAGGATAGGACAGGAAAGAAAAGAACAGAACAGAATAGAATAAAATAACCTTTATTGGCTAAATGTGAATGGACACACAAGGAATTTGCCTCCAGTGCATAAGCTCTCAGCATACCTGCAAGCAACAAGTGATATTTTAATATACCTAATGATCACTGACTTAATATTTTGGGAAATATTTGTGAATTTCATATTGAAAATAGGCAATACTCAATGTGGACAAAGGATTCAAAACAAGTAGTCTGCAAAAGCAGCTGCAGCTTTGAACTTTGCTTATTATATGTGCATTCATGCAAACCTCATTTTAATGCTGGGACGAAAAGCCTGGCTGTGTGTGGCCAATAATCAAAGAACAGAGCTGATTTAGTGCTTTGAAAATAGGGCTTTAAACAAACTTTGCCAATTACCTTGGTCAAATACCTTGCACAGCCCTTATAAAATCCCCTCAAACATATTAATATTCTTCAAACATTATAGAAAATATAAAAAATTTTCCTTAAAGAAATGAGGGAACTTCTGAATTCAGTGCAAAGTGCTGTATTCTTCATCTTTACCTCATTCATAGATACGACATAATACTTCAAAGAAATAATGACAATCAAGTGCTGCTCTCATCTCTTTGTGTTCCTGTGTTAATCAGATGTCTTCTATGAACTTACCAGAAGAGCTACGGCAACTGGCAGATCTTTATAACATCCGAAGACAGACTGCAGTGCAAAAGTTCCAGCTGAGTGAGGAAGGTTTCCTTATCAGAAAACAAGTGGAGGCAATAAGAAGAAAAAAGGCAGAGTGAACAATATCCTAAAACAATACTGTCCGGGTTCTAATAGCCAGGGCAATCATAAAAAAAAGAAGAGATATATAACCATGCTAACCCAAAGCCTATAGTTGGTGATGGTGAGATAGACTCTAAAATGGAAAGGGGACATTTCATGTAAACTGACATTGAAAGAGGCTAAAATGAAGGGGAAAATAACCACAAAGAAAGTTTTTCTCCAGAAAAAAAAAATGAGGCAGATTTTGAAAGATAAAAACATGAATAAATAAACTATGCCCAGCTTTTTAGCTCAAAAATGAACAATACACCTGAATTCTCATTATAAGGTTGCCTTTGCCTACTGAGGGCTGTCTTGCCAATCCCTGTCAGAACCTCATCTCATCCGGCAAGTCGTACCACTGTCTTTGGTTTTCCTAAGAGGAAAAGAAGTAGGGGTCTCCAGATTTAACTGCCAGCTAAGATCATTAAAACATAGAGGCCAGGAAAGAAATTGCATTTTTTTTTTTTAGGATGAGGGCTTTCATTTTGGAACAACAAACATGGGATTCAGTATTTTTTATCTGCAGTGCAGCATTGCCTCTCATGTAAACCAGTTGATCCTGTTCATTGACTATTTGTTTGCTGGAGGTTCAGGGCCCACTCTTTTCAGTTTCCAAACAATCAGAAAGATTGTCCTTCTAAGACTAAACAATTGCATGATAGGAAAAGGCTTTCAGTCTTGTTTATAGATTAGTTTTTTGCTCCATTCATTAATTTCAAAATGTATTTACTAAATACCATCAGCTTAGGATAACTATTTTATTTACACAGGGTAGGCATGCATAACTGTAGTTTGTAATTTTTCTAATAAGTTATCTATGCCGTCATTTTGTTCTGGATAGTTATTATTAATGTGAACAGTAACTCAAGTATGGAATATGTGATCCAAGCTTAAAAAAAGGCTTATAATCATGTAATTGGATGGGTGGAGGGTTGCTTAAGATTGTGGGTTCTTAATGTTGTAAGCCATCCAATAACCATGTGTGAGTTGGGCAGCCATATACATTTCTTTAATAAATAAAAAATATAGTACCATTGTAGCAGATTTAAAAATAGGCCAGCTATTGCCTGAGATGTACTTGAGCAAGTGCAGATTTATTAATTTGAAGGTATGATTTAAAACAGGTCCCCAACCCCCAGTCCATGGACTGGTACCGGGCCACAGCATGCCAGCAACCAGTCTGCACAAACAAGCAAAAAACCACGCACTCTTTGGTCTGTGGAAAAAACTGTCTCCATGGATTCAGTCCACATGCCCAAAAGGTTGAGGACCTCTGATTTAAAAAACAAATGCAGTACTCTCTCTTTTTTCCGTATATAATTTTTATTAAAACTTTTAAACACAAAAATAAAAACCAACACAAACATATAATGTAAGAAAGTTTAAAAAGGGGGAGGAGAAATCAAACAAAAAGCAAAAAGTACAAGAAAACAAAAGAAAAATGGAAAAGAATATAAAAGAAAAATATATAAAGAAATGGCTTCTAATATTCTTCAGAGCAGTTGTAAGTACAGATACATTTAACCTCTCTATATAAAGTTACTTATTTATTTTAGATAATTTATATAGCTGCCTACTCACAGCAACTCTAGATGACTTACAGACAATAAAAACACAATGCAGCAAAAAATAAATAATAAAATAACCCCTCCATCCCACTTGGTGACAACACACACTCAAATCAGCCATTTAACGGGCTCCATCCCACTCAGATCTACTGGCAAAACCACATCTCCAGGGCTTTACGAAAGAGTCTCGGGGGGGGGGGGCGTCTAACTTCTGGAGGTATAATGTTCCAGAAGGAGGGAGCCACCATGAAGAAGGCCCTTCTTCTGGGTTCCACCAGATGTACCTCCTTAGGGGACGGGACCCACAACATTCCTTGCCTCCCCGCTCTAGTGCATTGGGCGGATGTGACCAGCAAGAGACTGTCCCTCAGATAACCTGGTCCCAAGCCATAAGGGCTTTAAAGGTGACAACCAGCACCTTGAATTGCACCCGGGGCAAATTTGCAACCAATGCAGCTCCCATAAGAGAGGTGACACGTGTACACTGAGGTCTGTACAAAACTATGCAGGCTGCTACATTTTGAACTAACTGGATGCTTCTCAAGGGCAGCCCCATGTAGAGCGCATTGCAATAATCAAGATGGGAGGTGACTAGGGCATGAGTGACTGTGAGTAGGGATTGTTGGCCCAGAAAATGGCATAACTGGCAGTTGTGCAGTCTTCCTGGGCATGGCATGACTGCCACATGCTCTTTGATCAGGAGTCGCGAGTCCAGGAGAATCCCCAGATAACGCACAGAGTCTGTTTGGGGTAATACCACCCCATCCAAGACCCAAGGTGGCAATTCTCCATGGGCCAAAGAACACCAAACCCAGAGCCACTCGGTCTTGCCAAGGTTCAGTTTCAACCTGTTGCTCTCCATCCAACCCCTAACAGCCTCCAGGCACTGCAACTTAACTCACTACAGACTGAGCCATGCAGCTGAGTATCATCAGCGTATTGATGATCTCACCCAACGGCTTTATGTAGATGTTAAATAGAAGCGGAGAGAGTACTGAGTCCTGCGGGATCCTGCACAGCAGTGTGCGAGGGCTAGACCTCTCGCTTCCTATTAACACCGACTGAGAGGCCACAAGTGAACCAGAATAGCATAAAGCCCCCCCCCCACTCCCAACCTCCAAAGCTGCTCCGGAAGGATACCATGTTCGATGGTATTGAAAGCTGCCAGGGGGTCAAGGAGAGCAAAGATGGCTGCACTAGCCCCATCCTGCTCCTGCCACAGATCATCAAAACGTCAATAGGTCCAGTTGCTGACAAGGGCCGGGTCAGCTCCGCCTCCATTATAGAACCCATGCCATCTTTCAGAGCTGCAGCTGCTGGCTTTTGGGCTCTCAGGCCAGGGATTAGCACAGCACACAGAAGGCAGCTCACTGAGATCGGGGGGGGGGGGGGGGGAAGTCTAGGGAAGTTCAGGGAAGCCACACAGTCATAAATCATCCACTCTTCTCTGTCTCCTTTTCCAGCTGCTCCTTTCTGATCTCTCCACTCTTCAGACTCTTGGCCTTTTTACCTCTCCGTTTCTCCACCAAATCTCCATCCTCTCATCAGTCGTGCCTGTCTCCCTCTTGCCTTTCTCTAAACCAGGGGTTCTCAACCTTGGCAACTTTAAAACTTGTGGACTTCAACTCCCAGAATTCTGGGAATTGAAGTCCACAAGTCTTAAAGTTGCCAAGGTTGAGAACCCTTGCAAACACTCCTCCGCTTCCATATACCAATCTCAACATCCCCAAAAACTTTCCAGCACCCTCTCGGCAAAACTTTTCAAAGCTCCATCAAAAACACATAGAGTGCTGTCGCCATTTATTTTTTAAAAAAGTTACATCCTATTACTCTTCTTTCTATAATGTTCTAATTTTTTTAAAAAAAAATTGTACTCATTCCAACAGTTGGGATGTTCTGTTTAAAATAAAACTTTAGATTTGTTAAGATATTTGTGTAGAATGGATGTAGTAATAAAATTGCTGATTTCCAAGGGAAGTAGCGCAATGGATCTATGTGTTATTTTTGTGTGTGAGTGAATATAGTTCAGGAATTATTTTAGAGATGGTGAAGTAGGAGCTAGCACTCATCTTTTAAATGGGCAGTGTCCATTTTAGGCACATCTTGCAGACAAATATATCCCCAAATATAATGTTCATTGCAGAGACTCTTAAGATTTCAGCTTTAGGGAATCTAAATCTTCAAGCTATCTTTTTTACTTTTAAGAAAGAAGGTAAGTAAACACTATCTTTTTTTGTCCAAATTGTTGGTCTGCTTATATGGTACATGTGCTAATGTTGCACATGAGTAGAAAATATAAAATGACTGATATAATGCTAGATGTTGCCTTCCCCCACTCCTGGTGCCACACAACATGCTATTGAGGAAGTGCTGAGAATCTTTTGGAGTACTAATTCTATGGCTATCTGATTGCTGATGTTACTATGCAGGAAAAGCAAATCTCAAACTGCAAAGAATTACAGTGGGAACATGGAATGTAAAAACATGAACATGTACAAATTAATACCTTAGGTATGTGCAAATTGAAATGGATTGAAATTGGACACTTTAGTAGAAGACCATATTCTTCAGGACATAAAAAACAAAGAATGTCTTCTTTAATTTTTTTATGTTATTATTAAATTTGTTTGCCTGCCATCTCGCAAAAAGGTGACTCTGGGCAATAAATTAAAATATTAATTTTAAAATATTAAAAGCAATAAAACCATACAAACATATGCCCACTATAACAATAAAAATACAAACTATAACTAAAAGATGGTGAGAGAGGGAGCAGGTTGTGCAGGGGATCTGCTATTGGTCCATCAACCACCTCCAGCCTCAAACTCCCCCATTGAGACCCCAAGCCAACTGGCAGAGCCACGTTTTCAGACTCTGAAAGGAGGATGGGAGCAGACCTCACCCTCGGGGAGGGGGGCAAGATGTTCCAAAGGGCAAGAGCAGAAAAGGTTCTTCTCTTGGATCTTGCCAGGGAATTCCCTGACCAACAGGGTCCCCAGTATGCGTCCTCTGCCAGCACAGGTAAGGCGGGCCAGTCCCATTGGGATAAGACCGTTCCTCAAGTAACTGGACCCATTAAAAATGATAACCAACACCTTGAATTGCACCTGGAAGCAAATCGGCAGCCAGTGCACCTTGCAGAGCAGCAATGGACCACTCTAGTGGCTCCAAAACTGCTCACATCACCGCACTCTGCACCAGTTGTAGTTTCTGAATGTTCTTCGAGGATAGCCCTGTGTAGAGTACATTGTACTAGTCCAGGCATGAAATGACTAGGGCTTGAATGACTGAGCCCAAGGACTCCTGATCCAGGAAAGGCCACAATTGCCGCACAGCTCAAAGTTGTACAAAGCCTCTCCTAGGTGTGGCTGCCACCTGCTCTTCAAGCAAGAATCACAAGTCCAGGACAATCCCCAGGATGCAGACTGGGTCTGTCTGGGATAGTGCCACCCCATCCAGAACTAAGGATATCAAAGTCCCAGATCTTGAAGCTCCATGCATTCAAAGTCATTTGGTCTTGCCAGGGTTCAGACGGTGGGGTACCACAAGATTCTGTCTTAGGCCCAATACTCTTCAACATGTTCATAAACACCTTAGATGAAGAGTTAGAAAGGAAACTCATTAAATTTGCAGACAACTGGGGAGGGGGAACAGCAACACTTTACAACAGAAGGATCTTGACACAAACACTGGGCCCTAGCCAACAAAATGCAATTTAGTGGTTAGAAAAGTAAGGTTTTACATTTAGGCAAAAAAAACCCCAAATGCACAGGTATAGCAAAGGTGCTACCTGACTCAACAGCAATAACTGTGAGAGGGAACTCAACAACCATTTTTAAGTATGAGTCAGAAATGTGCTCCAGTTGCCAAAAAGGCCAAGCAGTCTTCCACATGGAGAGAGGCCCAGGACTCTTTAATATCTTCATAAATGACTTAGATGAGGGAATTGAAGGGGAACTGTCAAATTCTCAGATGACAATAAACTGGCAGGAATAGCCAACACCCCAGAAGACAAGCTCAGGTTCCAAAAAGAACTTGACAAACTTGAACAATGGGCCCTATCCAACAAAATGAATTTTATATGGAGAAAAGCAAAGTTTTACACTTAGGCAGGAAAAATCAAAGATATAAGTACAGATTAGGTGAGACTTGGCTCAAAAACAGCAACTGTGAGAGGGACCTTGGAGTCCTAGTGGACGATCACTTGACTATGAGCCAGCAGTGTGCAGCAGCAGCCAAAAAAGCTAATACAATCCTGGGTTGTATAAACAGAGGCATAGAATCAAGATCACGCAAAGTATTAGTACTGCTTTATGAAACCCTAGTGAGACCATACCTGGAATATTGCTACCAGTTTTGGTCATCATACTACAAAAGAGATGTTGGAGACCTTGGAAAAAGATCAGAGAAGAGGAACTAAGATGATCAAAGGCCTGGAGACTAAAACATGAAGAACAGCTACAGGACTTGGGTTTGGCTAGTCTAAAGAAAAGAAGAAATAGGGGTGATATGATAGCAGTATTCCAATATTCGAAGGGCTACCACAAAGAAGAGAGAGTCAAACTATTCTCCAAAGCACCAGAGGGCAAGACAAGAAACAATGGTTGGAAACTGATCAAAGAGAGAAGTAACCTGGAATTAAGAAGAAACCTCCTAACAATGAAGACAACCAGTAGAACAGCTTGCCTTCAGAAATCATGGGCACTCCATCACTGGAGATTTTTAAGAAGAGACGGGACAATCACTTGTCTGAAATGGTATAGGTTTTCCTGCTTGAGCAGGGGGATGGACTAGAAGACCTCCAAGGTCCCTTCCAGATTCTTTTCTATTTCTATTCTTCTATTTCCATTCTTCTATTTTTATTTCTATTCTTCTATTTCTATTTCTTATTCTATTCTATTTCCTATTCTATTCTATTTCCTGTTCTATATTCTATTCTATGTTCTATCGCACGGGTGCCAGAGGCGGCACTCAGAGCCCTCTCTGGGGGCACGCGTGCTGTCGCCCGAGTCCTAGGCCTTCAGCTGGGTTTTATAAAACCTTTTCGCTTTAGGCCTCCGTTGCCTTGTGCAAAAAAAAAAAAGGTTCAATCAATCAGTCAATTACAACTTCTCGTGGGGAAAAAAAAAGATCTTGCAAAGTTGGGATTGAACTTTTT